GAGAGAGAGAGAGAGAGAGAGAGAGAGAGAGAGAGAGAGCTACCCCCAAAAACCAACCAAACAGGCCACGATGGCATCCGAAGACCCCCGGGGGCAACCACCGACGGTTTCACGCCTGTACACACGAGAGACCGTCGGTGAGGCCGAGGTGCAAATTGCGCCACCATCTGGTTTACATCCAGCGAACGGAAAACCACCCCAGTAGCCAGGGGGAGGCGGCGCAGCTGCGTTGACACTCTGTTATGACAAATATATTTTCTTATTTGTACTATTAATATGGCCCTACTGACGATACCCATCCGGGAACGTGTCATCGTCCAGCACGCAGGATTGATGGAGAAAACAGCACGCGAGAGCCGCCGACGTTGTTTGCTAATGCGAACGTGATGAACGTTCTGCTCGCGCTGCATGTGTTGTTAAATGTTTACTTTATTTCACAACACCGTGAAAATATCAATATGATAATTGTGAAAATTTAATGTATGTCTCCTTTTTACCATATTTATTTTAAAACGCGATAAATCATTCAAATGTAATCAATTGACAAATGTACGTATAAATTTTTTTAAAACTGTAATTCCGCCATTAAAAAGTAGAATAGAAGATTTCCAACATGTAAGATATTTGTTTTAAATTAATGCTGTCTCAATTCTTTAAAATCTTTAAACGAAATCTAATTCTAAAGAGTGGTAAAGAGTGAAAATTGAATCAAAGATATTGAAAAAAAGATTCAATTTTGAAGAGTGAAATTTCACTCTTTAGAGTTAGATTCCACTCCAAAGATTTTAGAGAGTCCTCATTATATTTCGTATCACAGATTTTCGAGTATAAAATATCGCAAGGCAAAAAATGCCGCGTAATAAAACGATCGAAGAATTTTGCAATAGTTCTAGCCACGCAGAACCGTCGTGTGCGGCTGGATTGCCTAGCTTTTTCTTTTTTTCCTATCGACGAGAGACAACATTTTCCGATTTGTCCTCGGGTCGTAAGTGACGAACGAACGGCGATGAACGCGGAACTCATTCAGCGATGCGTTGCATCGCATCGGTCGCGTTGCACGCAGCTGCGTGGTTCTCTCGACGAGAGAGAAGCGCGTATAGAGCTCTTGCGCGAGCTCTATGAGACAGAGTCGGGGGTTATAATCCAGGAACAAATCAACGATATGTTGTACCTCGCACGCCGCTCTACCATGTGTACCTCTCTATCCATACACACACCTATGGCCCTGCATCAGACTTCTGCTCCCTAGCCATCTTCCAGCCTCTGAACTCTTCCCCTGCCTTTAAAACTTTCAGATAGCATCCCTCCTCCAGATATTATTCGTTCGCATAGACACCCTACGTGCACAGTCGTTCTGTATACGATATATAGTATACATCCTGCGTATACGTCGATTGCATTCCCTTCGCTGTGCTACACGTAGGTATACACACACGTGTTTCGTGTATGCGATACACCCTTTTGCAGTTGTGTCGCCATTCACAGCGGCTTAACTTCACGCGGAAACTTCACTTCCCAGGACTCAATTTCCACGCTTCTGTCCTACATATTTTACGATTCCAGTTACGATACTGCGATATCTGCGCGAAAGAGTCGTCGGAAAGAGTCGAACTCAAACGGACTCAAATAACAGAAACGCACTAGATTATGAGCGAAATCTATTAAGTAAAGATACACAAGAAAAGTTTAAAGACTTATAAAAAAGATTATATATGAAAATCCATAGATATACGGATATGTACGTAAAAGAAATATTAAGCTACCGGAATCGTAAAATCTGTAGGATAGAAGCATGGAAATTGAGTCTTGGAAAGTTAAATCGCCGTGAATGGCGACGCAACTGTAATCGAAAGTCTAATGAGTTTATTAACCTTTAGTATATATGATTGTATGAGGGAGTTACATGATTCGTGTCCTGCGTATTTCTTTTCTTTAAAATACTAGGAGCACTTGGCTAAATAATGATCTTTATCTTTTTTTTTAAGTACATAATTTTATAAAGATATTAAGTGCCGGCAAAAGTGACGAGAAATGAGAAACCTCATTTACATCTCATTTCTGATGTAGATATATATCTACACTCTATCGTATATTGTCTTGTAGAAGAAATATTTTGCCATAAAACTCGTGTTGACTTGTGTTTTACGAAGCTACACGGAAAGAATGATTTTGCTCAAATATCTAAAAATTTAACTAATTAAAGTTCTGACAATAATTTTGTTGAAAAATAATTATGTAGGATGCTCAAACTGATTGCTGAAATGTCAAAACTTTTTGCAGCATTGCTCATTATGCTTGAGATTTCTACGTAATTGTTTAGACGGTTCAACAAAATTACTTTCAAATTTGTATCTAGTTAAATTTTTAGATACTTCAGCAAAATCATTCTTTCTGAAGCCTTCTATAAAGCCGGATTTTATAATATATTTCACTCTTAAAAATTTTATAATAAATAAAATGATTTATTCCTACTCACGATGCAAATAAGGAACCGTGTTTTGTCTCGTAGAAATAATATTTCGCGTTTGAGATCTTTTCGGCTTCTTTTTTTATGAAATTGCGAAGGCGCGTACAGAGCCCGATTTGATTCTTAAAACATTATAATAAATAAAATAATATTTCCTTAATATTTTAATCGTAATTTGGGATAAGAAAAATTCATCTTCGACAGAGGTCTCGTGACTTCTGTGTAAGAATCACTTTAATAAATACTTGTAAAAATGATGACTAGAAAATCATCGTGTGTACTAATAATTAATAACAGAAACGTATAATGCAAGTTTGAATATATTCAAATATTCAATTCTTCAAAACCTTTAGATTAATAACCTCATTTTTTCTATTCGCGTATTGCGAGACTTCTCTGTGTGTTGCATGCAAACAACGGGGGCGGGGGTTGGACGTAATTGAAGCTCAGTATTCGAGGCACGAGAAGAGCCGCGCGATCGTGACTTGGTAACACCCCGCCGCGAAATAAAGATGTCACGGGAACCGCAATAAAAGCGTCAACGAGCTCGTCGGCACATCTATCAATGTAAGAGACGCGGGGCTGGGACAATGGCAAATGGAACGACGTAGGGCGTGAACATCGCGCTGTGTAAATATCTTAAATCTCGCCCGCGATTGCCGAAGCACGAAACGCGCTCCCGTCCGTCTCTCTCGTTCCTTTTTCCCGCTTCCCTTCCGCGCTCTCTCGTTTTCGTTGCGTATCGTGATCGCTTTTTACATCGTGCAATTTGACGCGCAAAAAATGCAATGACTTTAAACGTAAAGTTAACATACCGTACGCGAAATCGAGATGGCAATCTCGGATTACTCGTGAAGAGCGCGATTTACTCGCTGAAAGTTCAGAGGACCTTTCCGTCTGCCTCCATTATTATTTCTACATCGTTGACAACGATATTTTAGAAGCTATAAAATCTGCGAGCACAGGACGAGAGGGGAAAAAAACGAAAAAAAAATAATTACCTGGACTCGCGACTCTGGCAGGTTGATCTTAAGGGCAACCTCCTCTCGCATAAAGATGTCCGGATATCTCGTTTTCGAGAATAGTCCCTCCAACACATCCAGCTGAGCTCTGGTGAAGGTCGTCCTCTCGCGACGTTGCTTGCGTTGATTCATTCCTGCAACATGAGGGAAGGAAGCGCTCGTTATTAATTATTACGTTTATAAATCTCAGCGAGAAATTTTTTTTTGTACATATCTGATCCGCATTACTACGTTACGCTCTCAAAACTACTCTACGCAGCGTTCAAAAGGAGTGATTAAAAGTTTAGCCTTAGCCAATTACCGAATCGATTTCAATCTATTAAATCAGAGCTGAGATTAATTGCACATTTCGGATGGATTTCGTTGTCAACGCTTACTGTCTTCCTTTTGCCGCTCGTATCTTAGCAACAAACTGCCGAATGTTTATAAATAAAGCGCGTGATCGGCGTGACGTCCATATGTATCCAAAATATAAATCAATTCATTTCTGTGGTTAGTTTCAAAGTAAACAACATCCATATTAACGTATATATACATTTAGTAAATAATAAACTAAATTTGAGTTAAATTTAATACATTTTTTTTAGTTAAATTGTTTAACTTCATTGTTTTGGTGAAATTAACATATTAAATAGGAGCAGTAACGATCCACAGAAATGATTAAAAAGGAAAAAACTCAAATTGGATACAATTTGACATTAAGGCTGGGTTCGCTTTGGCGCTTATCACGCGACATTTCATCCTGGTTGTTTATTAAATATTAAACAAGGACAATTGATGCTCACAAACGCTATAAGCGTCAAAACGAAAGCAGCCTGTAAATTTAACAGTGAATTATATGGAGCGCGTTCAGGGAGCTCACCACCAATGCTATGTAGTGTTACCGCTGTTCAGGGAGCCAACTGATAGCACTATGAAACACTATCGTGATGCTATTGTTGGTAGCGTTTGACGTTTGACGTTATGACTCGCGCTACAAATGCTCACCAAAGAGATAGTGTGTTGATAGCGTAGCGTTCGTGTGCTCCATGAACAGCGATAGTGTAGTGAATACTGAAGTGAACATTGTTGGCCGATACTTCGAAATTAATAATCGCAATAGTATTCATTATACTTAGCTTTTAAAATGGATTACGTGGAAATGGAATTGCGTGATGAAGAGTTACAGGAAAGTTATAAGTTAAAATTGAGTCCAACGGATGTCATTAAAGCAAAAAATTATAAGTTTATGGTTGTCCAATATTTTGTAATTATACAGTTTAGCTCAAAAATCAATAAAATTAGACTAGTTCAACGCGTTTTTGCATAAAACGAAAGAATCTAGCAGAATCTAAAGAATCTTGCTCTTGCTACATTTTGCCGTATGTGGTATGGTTAGGGCAAACACTACACTATTATTGTTCACAGAGCTTGTATTCGCTAGCACTATCTTGGCTCCGTGAACAGAGATGGTAGCGTTAGCGTTGGTAGCGCGGTAGTGAGCTCCCTGAAAGCATCCATGATAGAATTCTCAGTCACTCCTCAGCCACAAGTAGCTCGTTAGAAGTTTTCCTTTTCTAATAATTTTAGATTAATAGTTGAAAATATTTTTGTTATCAATAATATTAGCAATAAAAATATTTTCAATTCTTAATCTAAAAGTACTTAAAAAAAAAGTTAAGATCGTTTCGAAGATGCGAATAAGCATCAAAAATTTGTTAAATTGCTAATCAATCTAACTCGTAATATTACTGCGGTAGTTTAATAGAGTTAGCGTTTTAAGACCGAAAAATCATTTCGGCGCGTGTTTCTGGGAACTACACACGTAGTATATATAAATTCACATAAGAATCATACAAACATTAAGATCCAGCTAGACCGTTTAGGCGTTATGGTCCTATAATATATTATATTGTTTAAAAAAAAAAGTTCTAATTAGCTATTTAAGGCTCAAGATTACAATTCTTAGAAATTGAATTAAATTCTATCACACGGGGTTTATAAACATTCGGCGGCTCATTGCTATAAAGATACGAGCAAGAGGAAGTATAGTATCGACAACGAAATCGATTCAAATTAAATCAATCAATGATTTCGTAATGTAAACGGTTTTATGCTTTTTCACAAAAAGCGGTAATTGAAAGAGGAAGAAATGGAAGTTATAACCGTCAAAGAAACTATACCGTTATCGCGAAACAAGATTCGATATTGAGATCTCAATATGTTCGCACAGAACGACCGACGCCGATGTCTTCAAATATGGAACGCTTGTGACATCGATGTCTTGCACGAAGACGGGGGTTGTTGCCGTGCCTGGTTGCCTCGTAGGATGGCAAAGGGGGTTTGACGCGGAGGGGCGTGAGCGTTGCGAGGTCGCGATAGCGTAATTTTGAACAGCTCCCCCCTACGACCCACCCCACGCTACCTTCCTCGTGCCATCGAGCCTCGCTTGGCTCGTTTCGGGACCCACGTAATCCGCTTATGAGGGGGTCACGGGGGTGCCGGTGAGGGGGACAGAGAGAGAGAGGGAGGGAATACACCCCGGAATACACGAGCATCCAGAGGACCAAAGTCGCGGTTCGCTCCCAGCTGCCGTTGAAAACGACGATGCTGGCCCTCGACAAGCATGCCGGCGAGTATATACAGTTTGTCCTCGTCGCGAACCAATAAAAAGGAGCGACTGGAAAACTGCGCTTCGCTAGTGTCTCCGGGTTGGAGGCCGGATCGTAAAGTCGCAGACGGAATGGTGGAATCCGGAGTCCGGAGGATTCGCCGGGCCGCCGGCCACGCGAGGTATTTTTATGCGCCGAATTTTCGTGTTGTTCTGCGCAGAGAACTCGTGATGTTAACAAGAAAAAAAAACAAGAAGGCAAAAGACAGAAGTAGTCGATCAAGATGCGCTCTAATCTGTACGAGTCTCAAACCTGTAAGTTTTTTTTTTTCCAAAGCAAAAGTTTCATCCAATTTCATAGTAGCGAATGACCGACGGTCATACGAGTTGAATAATTGAGAGAATAGGGTCATTCATGAGAGACTGGTGAAGCCCCGCCTTGTAAAGTAAGTATACGTCTATAATCGTCCTGTTAAGACTTGGGAGACACGCGAGGCAGCTGTTTTCAAGACGATCAATGCTTTCTCTTTCTCCTTTTCCATTCCTCTTGTCCGCCATACTTGAAAGGTCCTCCACTCACCGAATACAATAAAGAAAAAGAGTTACACCATCGAGATGCAAAAAAGAGAAAGTTCGTGTCAGCAGGGAAAGATATGATGCAGAACAAAAAGCAAAATAGCGATTTAAAAATACGAAATAGCATACCGAGAAAAAAATAAGCTTCCGAAGGAACCCTTAGAAACTGTATATAAACGTATGTGACAAATACAAAGAAAAAAATCGATAAAAGTACAAAGGATAATAATACAACAAAAATAATTGAAGTAAAACCGATTACGAAAAAAAAAAAATTTAATTGAACAACTATGTAGTAATTAGAGAAATTAAATTAATTTTATAATCTGTACTCTATAGCATATATAGAGAAAAGTTTTCTATTACAACATGTCGTAACTGTTGTCTATTTATACGATATAGTATTAAAAAATATATGTATTATACACTGTTATATATCAAAGAAACAATGTAACCCAATTCCTTGAGTTAAACAGCATTTTGTTATTATTAATGTTCACACTTTGTGTATAAATATAAATCGATCCATTTCTGTGGTTTCAAAGTAAATAACGTAAATTAACGCATGCACTTAGTAAATAATCAACTAAATTTAAGTCCAATTTAATATATTTTCTTGAATCAAATTGTTTAACAATTGAGCTGAATAAGGCTCCACAGAGTAAATCAATTAATATTATAATGTGTGCCAATAAAAGCCGACAGGCAGATATCTCTCCATGCGTAATCGTTCTATTATGAATAATATAACGCAATATAAACCGAAGAGTAAAATAAACGTTTCGATCTTCTTCAGTAAATATGAAGTGGGTAATAAAGAAAAGTCTATATCAGGTCTTCAAATTGTGATTAAACTTATGATATATACATCAGAAGCAGTTATAAAGTTGTACATGTTGTGTAAATGTAGTTATTAAAAAACTTCTTCTGTTTTATATAGTCGCAATTGAGTGATTAATCAATGACATAACAATCATCTTACATGGATAATACTAGAATTATTTTACTTGTCTATGTTAATGTGGAAGTTACAATTGTAGTAATGATATACTTGATGTATACCTTGGTGTGTATCTTGAACGTGATGTTGTCTAGTCGAAAGGCCATCTTGTGAAAGAAAATTAATGTGATAAGAATGGCAATATCAGAATTTTGTAAATAAATTTAATAATCATAAAGATAAACATCATGAATTTAACAGTGTAATTATTGTGTACAAAAAATTATTTTATGAGAAAAATGAATCAATCAACTTCATCAACTATCAAAATAAATATATATTCATATAGCTTAAGGTTCGATTGAAAGCGTTTCGATACGAAACGATAGTTTACCAATGAGAGCAACGACAAAAGTAAAGTAACTGTAGTCCTAAAGGAAGGAGCGGTCCAGAAGAAGGAAACAAACGTCATATCAATCGCATCTCTCGTGGGTGCTCCTCTCGGGTTCGAAGAGAACCTGGGATGAAGAGGATGACGACGAACGACGACGACGACGGTACCTGCGTGATTGGCTAACGAACTGGTCGAGTGGGCTACCAGTATGGCACCAGAGTAGATCCACGGAACAGATTGCGTCGAGCTCACAATGTACAAACTCCACGGTGGTCGGTATTACCGTCATGGCTCCGTGTGACGGACGCGACACACCCGCGATCGTTTGATCTATGATCCGTATCTTGGATGCCGCCTCCGGCACGGAACCGCTATTGATTATGGACACATGGAAATTCTAGAATGAAACAATCTCTCTCTCACCGTCTTTTTCGAAATAACGTGGCTCAAAAAAATATCTGTACATTTTATTTAGAATATTATCGACATTAAGATGCCACTTTACGAGACATGAAAAGCAGTGTGATCACGTGGTTACAATTTGTATACATGACGCCATTCTTTTCAAATATTTTCACTGTCTAACATCAATTTTAGTTATGATCTATTTTGATATGATCTATTTTACTAAAAA